AGCCACTCTTTCATCATCTCCTCAATGAGGAGATGAGGAGTTCTGCATAAAGCAAATACCTGTTCTTTTATACACAATCCACACTTCCCCCTTTAATGTTCTCATCGCGGTCTCAACAACGTCCGCAGTAACAACACACATAGGGCGCATCGCACTATAGGACGCGCCGCACATTTTGAGGGAAAAAATACGTTTATATGCACCTTTTAGTCGCGAAAATACGGTATTTTCTACTGTTTTCAAGGCTGCACTTTAAAAAACATTGTCTAGAGAGCTGTTCTTAACAAAATGTCTTTATGTTTATACTTGAGTATACAAAATGAAAAAATAAATCTTTTTAAGTTTAAAAGTCTAAGAATGGATTAGTGTGTCTGTCAGAAAAACCTGAAACCTCTATATAAAAGATGCAACTTTGAAAAATGAAAGTGAGGAATAACCTTTTGAAATGTACCGTATAATTGCTTTCCACACATAAGAACAGTGCAGCTGAAGGAAATATTCATGTGAGATTCAGACACACTACACAGGCTTTAATACCTCACATAATTTACCAGACATTTACTCATTGCTTAAACTGTAATATCCACTCAAAATAGGGATTATAAATGTTCTGTTTTTATCTTCTTTTTTATTTTCCCTTTATTTTCCTTTGCATGGGTGCTATCTACTTTGCATGCAGCTTCCTTTTTGGCCAGCAGAGGGGAGTCTTACTCTTAATATAGCCTGCAGTTTGTGATCCAACACCTCTGGATATGGAAAAGGATTAGGGCCATTGAAAAACGAAATAATAATCTAAGTTTAATCTCAGAAGTCTGAATTTAATTCGGATGGACAGAGGGAAACATTCTTCAAAATCTGGAGATTCAAGTCAGAATTGAGAATTCTGAGAATAAAGTCAGAATTCTGAAATTTAATTCATAGAATAACTCTGAATTTAGAGATTAAAATAAGAATTGAATGACTATTTTTATTGTGGTCGTTTTTATATTTTATTTATTTATTTTTTTTTGTCCAAAGGCCTTTATTCTTTTTGTGTCCAGAGGTGTTGGACGAGGGGTGAGACTGTGAAGTGAAGAATTAAAAATAAGACAATTACATAAAAAAAAAGATAAAATGACTGATATTGGGCTGCATGGTGGCACAGTTTGTAAGCACTGTTGTCTTGCAGCAACACGGTTTTGGGTTTGAGTCCTGGCCCGAGGTCTCTCTGCATGTTTACATGTTCTCCCTGTGCGTGTCTGGGTTCTCTTGGAGTACTGCAGCTTACTCCTGGAGTCCAAAAATATGACTGTTAGGTCTATCGGGATCTGTAAATTGGAGTGAGTGTGCATGGTTGTATGTCTTTGTGTGTCTCTTTGTTGCCCTTCGACAGACTGACGACCTGTCTAGGGTGTACCCCGCCTCTCACCCATAGACTGTCACAGATAGGCAGCGGCCCCAATGTGACCTTGACGGAATAAGATGGACGGATGTTTGATATAATAAAAATATCCCAGCATTCCACATTTTTTACAGTTTCTGATAATGGCCCTCACTGCTAGCTGGAATTTAAAATCCTCAAATATGTTTTTGATTTGTCTCTAGCCTGATGTTGACCTTTTCTCTTATATGTTGTCAGATCTGGGCATTTTCAGTTGCTTTTTGGGATCGTCTTTCATATGATATGTTACCAGACCTGTTCTATTGACTTGTGTTGATGAATCTAGATAGATTCACATTATACGTCATGTTAAGTTAAAGTGTTAAATGGGCTATGGAATAACAAAATAGATATTGAGTGTTGAGGATTTAGTATACTTTTTAATACAGTATGTCATTTATTTTCTATATCTTACAGACATCTTATTTTAAAAGATTCTCCATTGAATGTGGCCACAGTGTTGAATTCATTCAATCTTATCCTGATTTTGTTAATAATTCTCTCATGACTGTTGGAGGATTTATGAGTGATGTCAAGCCAGAAGTGTTACTAATCACCAATATTTTTTTTTAAATATTTTTTTATATACTCTAATAATCCCAGAGGGAAATTAATTCTCTGCATTTAACCCATCCCCTTGGGGGATTCAAAGCCCTATACCCTAACCACTAGGCTGCCACTCCCCCTAATAACCTTAATAACCAGTTAATAAAGTTTTCCATTTCTTTGATTTTAAGTTTGAGGTTGGGGAAAGCATACATAGGACAAAACAACATCGATCATGTTCTTAATTATAGGAGGCGGTGGATGGACATTGTGTGGGAGGTAGTGGGCCTGGGTCATCTCCCAGGCATCCAGCAATCGGACATTGACTTTTTTAAATATTGTCCTGAGTATCTTATCACGCTGTAAAAAATAGTAATCATCAGTGGTAACTGACTCCTCTAGTGTAATCCTTTTAGGATTAGCAGTCCTAATGATAACCAGGGTACCTGGAGCTCTGGACAACAACCGCACGACTGCTCTCCTTATACTCAGCAGACGTCGGATGTAGACCTCAACAGGAAAAGTGCTGAAGTGAGCCCAGACACCAATTATTACAACAGTGTTGTTGCCTCCATCCACGCTGTCCAGTTCATTGGCAACTAAGTGTAATTGACTGACAAGCATCAGAGGAGAACGGAGGGGAGGACCATGGGAGCGGCATGTCACTAAGATGTTGTTTGTATAATCCAAGGCCAGAAAGGGTCCTGTTTTTGGAGGTTTTTTCTGGTCAAACTTCTTAAGATCTGAAAGTAACACAGAAAACAAAGCAGATTAGAAAGAAGTGTGAACCAGTTCAAATCTTGGAAAGAAATTTCTACTAGGCTTCTACCTGGTACTTTTGCAATTAAATATTCAAACCACTGTCTGATGGTGGAGTCTCCATACATGTGGACCTCCTTTCCTTTCAGGCACTGAGTTATTGCTTCGGCATTGTTAAACTGATGAACCTTGGTGCCATCTAGAGCCTGCCATGCATCTTTGTAGTAATAACCAGCAGGTCTGGTCCACAAACTTTTTCCTAAGAGGTAAGTGTAAATGTAATCAGTCATTTATAAATCACTTTTTTAGATATCAGCATTTTGAAAAAGTAAACTTATACTTTACCTGATACATTAGCAGGTACTGTTTCATTGGAAACTGGAAGGAAATAAGAATGGCATTTTGTGATTATGTACGAAGAGAAGTAACTTTTGCTTAAAAATAGCTGCTCTGCATTATTTTTATCTTATAGTTAAATATTACAGAGGCCAACCCCAGATGGCCGCTGACACTGAGCCTAGTTCTGCTGGAGTTTCTTCCTGTTAAAAGGGAGTTTTTCCTCTCTACTGTCACTACAAGCATGCTTAGTGTGAGGGATTGCCTTTGAGTCAATGAGTCCATGCAATCAACTGGTTTTCCTTAGAAAGAAAACTTTGAATCAATTTGACTGTATGATCTGGTGAACGGTAGAGTGCCTTGAGATGATTAATAAACTGAATTGAAATTAATGGAATTTTTTTTTTTATAGGACAGTGAAAAATATAAAACTTAAAATGGCAACTGACACAAAGATGTATTTTTTTAAAACTGAAAACTGATTATCTTTTCCTTCCTTTGTTGGGCAAATAATGACTAATTGTTGCAAACTGACAATCAAGTATCCCTTACCTTTAAGCTTTGGTAAAATATTGATTTTTGAGGATCCTGCTGACCGAATGGATGCTTTCATGTTGACACCACTGTAACAAAGGACAGGAAATGCATGAAACTGTCAACACTGTCAATTTAACAGAAAATTTTAATTCTTATTAAAATCTCAGCCCTCACTTAAATCTTGATTAGTTGATGATGTTGTTGCTTATTCATTATTCTAGCATAACCACTGTTTAAACTGATCAGTACTAAATAGTATTTTTTTATAGTTCTTATTTTTTATGTTTTTTTTGTGTGTTTTTCACAATATCTATAAATATGGATTTCTCATGCAGTGCTGCAAGTGGTCAACCAGCTCTCTCTACTCTTTTTTTTTTTTTGCCCATCTCTGTCACACTTATCAACTACAGAGTCTTCTGTTTATTTTTCTAGTTTAAAGGACCCAGACTTGACTCGGAGGTCTGTGGTTTACGCTGAAAAGTAAAGGTAACTAACCTTTGCTGCTGTTCACATGGTGAGACAGGCATACCTTCAGTGTCAAATTAACTCAAGTACACTTTGCTGCGGCATACAGAAAGGGGCGGAGACTGATCGCATGACAGACCTATACTGTATTCGGAAAAATTGCACTTTTGCACTCTGGAAATAAAGCTGGCATTACTTCCTATGGTTCTTTTGTGTTTTCTTATTTTAAGAGATTATAGGTTTTATAAGGATATATTAAATAGATAAGAGGTCCACATTAAAAAAAAACAATAAAAAAATGCATAAATAAGAAAAAGCGTGCAGCGGAAACAAAGCTTGTTTCAATCAAAAACAGAAAAGATTTCCTCTTGATGCAGTAAGGGATGCTCTTTGGAAGTTCTTGAGTGGCTTTAAAAAAAATCAGTTTTAATTTAGCCCTTAAAAGTTGTTAAAAGTCATTATTAATCCTACTTGCATAGACTTGCATAGACTGCCCAGACTTTAGCTATCACCCACTCTACTGTACACTGCTCTACTACACTTAACTGCAAAGAGTGCAGATCCGAGCCTTCAGAGATAGACCCAGCTACCAACTGCCTCTGCACAGCTATGGTGACATCTGGCTCAGATCTGTTGCTATCAACCACCAAACCCCCAGCAGAGACTGTGCAAAAGCAGGACAGAATTGGCCGACTGTACCCCGCTCTGGAGAACTGTGCAGAAATCATGGACTGTACCCCCCATTAGAGCAAAGAGAGCTAACAACAGGAGATTGGAGGAGGATAGGGATAGATCCAGTGACAGGCAGTACAGCTTGTACCTAGGCCTTTAGTTGGCACCCCTCAACTAAATGTACTTCTAAACTCCAAAATGTCCGAATTCATACACACATACTCCTGCTTTTATATATATATATATATCTTGGAAATACAAAGGGTTTATTGCATACTTGCAACGAATGGGGTCAAGGGGGTAACATAATCCCTTTCACATTTTAATAAAAGAAACCACTGGTAGTATTTAAATATAAAAGTATCAAGCGCAGGTATAAACGAGAGAAAGATTAGTGTGAAGGTGAATACAGAGATCCATTAGCAAAAAAGCCAGTTAAGACAACTGCAATACTCTACTTTATAACCACAGCTAAGCCATATTTACATAATCAGTAGCTGTTCAGATTCTATGACCATCTAATTGGCAGATACAACAGAGTATAGCATGAAAATAAAACATTCACGAGAGATGCTGGTTATTTATATACTAAATCCATCCTTCTATCTTTGTGCAGGAAGTCTTAGTATATCTATTTGATATCAGCCATTGAGGCCAGAAATTTTATGACAAAATCTTATTTAAAATTCAGATATTCACTAGCTGAACTTGACTATAAACATTTTGCTCTAACTGACCAAGCATAGGACATAAAATGCAGACATAAGAGTGAGCCTGTTAGCTGACCCCCTGGCACATCTGATTGGTGGAATAAAGCATTCCTCACTAAATTGTCAATTCAACATCTACCAGCACTGCTGATTCTGAAGGCCCTGGGGACCAGGGCCTGGGCAGACTTGACTGACATAGCAAAGCACTAAGCCTGAAATTTGATTGGACAAAAACATAGCAACTATGTAAATGTAATGGAAGCAGCACAGCCAAGAGAAATACTAGAAAATTAAGAGAACGAATTGTTTGGAATAAATAAATAAAGTTAGATAGAAGAAAATTAAAGTTTAGGTTGTGAATGTAGATTAGTATTTCTGATAGATTTTAGGCCAGTAGAGAAGGCTTTGAAAGCCCTGACCGCCTACCACTGAGTAGATCTGAACCAGAGGGATGGCAGATGTTATCAGTATTGGGCAGAGGCTGAGGGTTGCTGGGTCTAGATCTGGAGGCTAACCAGAGAGATGGGATTCCAGGCAGAGGGAATTACTTTTAAGGGCTATATTAAAACTGCTTTTTTTTTTTTTTAAAGCCACCCTAGGGCATTCCTTATTTCAACCTATCACATTATTTTTTTCTGTCTTCCATTTCTATTGAAATGAGCTTTCTTTCCATTGCATTATTATTATATATTAGCTGTTTTTCTGGACCTTAGATATGTATTTAATTTCTATTTACAAAAATATAATGATTAAAAACAAGACACCAATAAAGATTAAAAAAAAAACACACACACACAACACCTGACAAACAGCAGCTGAATAGGAAACACAGCCCACTTAATTTTCAGAGTGCAAAGGTGCCATTTCCAAATACTGTATAAGTCGGCCATGTGCTCAGTCTCCACACCTTTCTGCATGCTGCAGCGAGGTACTTCTCAAGGAACTCAGGAGGGTTCAAATAGAGAGATGTAAAGACCTTTAAGCAATACTGCAGAAAATATTATTGTCCTAAAATCATTAGATGCTGTGTGTATCACAGGGGATATTTATACATTTAGTTGTATGTTTTATATTGTTTAGGAATCAGTGGTTACGTACTTGTAACTAGTGTGGCACCGATACCGATACAAGTATCAGGCGGAGCGCCGATCCATCACTAAAATGGTGGTATCAGTATCAGCGAGTACCGACAAATAGGGCACCGATACCATTTTGAGAGCCAAAAGTTTATTCAGCTATTGTCACCCATTCCAGGTAGGCAATAAAAGGTTCTACTGGATTCACTTTGTATTAGTCTTTTTCAGGCTTCACAAAGGTAGGCAGCAGCTTGACAAAGCCATGATGGCAATTAATTTACATCCAAGTAGTATGCAGTCCTTCATATACACACACACATCAACTTCAAAGATGGTAGTGGTATGGAATCAGTATCGGCCAATACTGGACAGTCAGGTATCGGGCATCGGTATCAGGCCAAAAAATGACATTGGCGCAATACCACTTGCACCATCGTACATGCTCAGCTGTATAAGGCCATCAGCTGTGGATTTAAGGAAAGTAATATCAATAGCCTCAGCGGTAAGCTTCTTCCCTTTTAAAATATCTTGGTACTGTATCATTTATTTCAAATAAATGGTTATGGTGGTTGGTTGGTTTTTCTGTTGGTGCATTGTGATTTGTGTAGATTGTCTCCAGTCTACAGTAGGTGTGCAGTCTTGGAAATTTCAGCTGAGTCAAATTTTGCCAGATGTCTCCCAGGAAGGTGGCACAGGCCTGTTTACATGCTGTTATTGATAATAATCAGTCCATATTGTGTACAGCTGAGTTAAGACAAAAGTGTAAACTGGAAGTGAGGAGAGCTATAAGACATTCAGAGATAACACTCTAAATCATTGCAATGTAAATTATTACAATCATTATAACTTTCTACACTTCCCTGATTTTTTTCTAGCATCTTATGAAACAACCAAAAAAGCTGTACTTACATCCAGTATTATACTCACATTTGAAACAGCCTTTTCTCCATTTTTATTGGTTTATTGTCGAAACCTCCAAAAGAGTGAGTGACCCTGTGCTCACATCTGAGTTTCTTTGGCTTGTAGCAGAACCAGGGCTCACCTGTGTTGAGATCAGTGTAGTTGCATAGCTGCTCTGGCGGTGCCATAAGGCATACATTACAAGTGGTGGTTTCAGTGACTGAGCCAGAGCGGAAAACGCTTCGAAAAAAAATTCTGCCAGGGTATTCCAAATTGACTCTTTCTATAGCATTCACTGCCTCGCTGGAGTGGATCAGGATCACCTTTTGCAAAAGAACAAATATTCACAAAAGAACATCTTGGTAAGTAAGATTTGGCAATACAAAACCTGTGAGTTCAAATGTATGTCTGTCCTGCAGCATTCATTGAAGGCAAATCTTTTTCTTTTTTTTTTTTCCAAATATCTTTATAGGGAAAAAACATATTATAATAATTCCAGTCACAGAAATACAGTTTCCCTTTTTTTTTCTTTGAATATATGCATATGTACATGGTCACATTTACACACAGAAACAATAACCAAGAGAGAGAGTACGATGTAAAGAACAGTAAATAACCCACCCAGCTTAACACGGCCAACACACATAAGGTTACTTATGCAAAACACAAGGTGCACTAGAAAATTGCTGTTCCTGCGAAACAGCAGTGAGAATGCATTACGCTAAACTGTAAGCTGAATATGGCACTGGTGAAATGGTATGAAATAGAAGAAAAGAAAAATGCTTAATTTCTTCGTTGAAAACGAGCAGAAGCAAGCTGAAGCCAACAGCTGAAACATGGCAGACATTTTATGAATTAGTAGCAAACAGAAAAGCTTAATGCCTGTCATGAAAGAAAGCAAAATTAAATCAATGTTGAAAATATAGGCTGAAATGTATTAAATTAGCAGAATCAGACAAGGAATTGGAAAGAAAAACTGGAATCTTATCTGGTTGAAGAAATAAAGGTTTAGTTTAAGATTGAGACTAAAATTGAAATGAAGTTGAAGAATGTGGTATTGAATGAGCAGCTTAATGCTACATAAGAGGCTTGATTAAAGTGTTAAAAAGTTTAAGTAATGCAAAATATGGACAGAAAATTAATACAGAAATAAGCTAAACTTCTAAGCAAAAACTTGGGTAAAGTGTTAGAAATGAGTAACAAGAAAAGCTCACGGCCTTCCATGCAAATTGAACCGTAAGAACAAGTCCGCCCCTTAGGAACGGTGATTCATTTGAGGTCTTTGTTAGCCTGCAATACCCATTACTGGTTTATGCCTCTGAAAGGGAGCAGTCGTTATGGCCATTGTTGGCCGACCAGGCAAGATGTTTTGGTCCCCTGCATAGCGATAGGAGTTGAGATGATAGTGGGAAGGAATCAACTCAATCGCTGTGTTGAAGGTTTTTGAGAGCTGAAACCTGAGTCCACCCCCTCTGTTTAAGGTTGTTTTTTTCTCTTTACATAAATGGCTTTCTTCACACCCTTTTCAAACCACCTGTCTTCTTTGTCCAAAACGTGAACATTCTGGTCCTTTCTCCATAAGGTGTAGATGTACAGCCAAGTCTTGTCTAGAGGAGTCAAAAAGAAAATATTGGTCTGTGTGAGTGGATTTCCTTTACACTTTAATATTGGGGTTTCCATCTCCTTCCATGCTCATCAAACAGTCCAGAAAAGGTAGCTTGTTGTCGTGGGCGTCCTCTCTGTTGAACTTATGTTCTGGTCAACCGACTTGATGTGTCTTATGAAAGCTTCCACTTCTTTTAGCTGAATTTTGACAAATGTGTCATCCACATACAAAACCCAATGGCTTGGTGGTGTTTCTTTGAAAGTGTCCAAAGCTCTCTGTGCTACAACTGGTGAAAAGGGAGATCCCATGGCACAACCATGCTTCTATCTGTAGAAATTATCCCTGAACTTGAAATAGGTTGTGGAAAGACAAATGTCCAGTAGGGAGCCTTTCTAGTCCAGAGTGAAATTAGTCCTGTTGTTTAGATCCCTGTCTTGTTGAAGACGTTTCTTGACTGTTTCCACTGCCTCTGATATAGGTATGACCGTGAAAAGTGAAGTAACATCAAAAGACACCAGGGTTTGTCCTGGTGCCATCTTTAAATGTTTGACTTTGTTTGCAAAGTCTTTGGAGTTTTCTATGTGATGTAGTGTGTTTCTAAAATATTAGTAAGCTGTGTTGTATGTCACTGAGTTAATGATGGATCTCTTTTTAAAGGTTCATATGTGTATCTAAGTAGAGTGAGAATTTTGTCCCAGCTGTACATCTACACTTTGTGGATATAGGACATTCTTTTGAGGACCAAAATGTTCACATTTTGGACAAAGAAGACAGGTGGTTTAAAAGGGGTGTGAAGGAGGCAATTTATGTTAATAGAGAAAAACCAACCTTAATTAGGGGGAGTGGACCCTTCGGCTCTTCACAACCACTATTGAGCATTTTTTCTTTGGATAAACTTTACATGCACAAGTGCATTTTCACAAAAAGCTACAGGTGCTTGGTTCCAGGTACTTAGAGACTCACTTCCACACAGAAAGCCCATATTCTTATCTTCAGGTAACACAGAGTACATGTCAGATTAAATAATACTACTTATACTTCAGCGATAGTCTAGGTGTTACTTTATTGCATGTCTCGTACTATGTCCGTTGGTTGTGCTGTTTTTTTTACATGTCTTTGCAGTAGGGATGCACGATATAATCGGCCCCCTATCGGTATCGGCCTGTATCGGCCTTAAAACTGAATATCGGACGTCGGCCAGCCTTATGAAAAGAGTGTCACTGGAAAAGAATACCAACCATTTTAAATTTGACATCTAAATAATGCTTTTTGAAGTAAAATTTAAAAAGCATTTTCTATTTGCACATTTTAAATTGAATTGTTAAAGAGAAATTGTAAATTTTATTTATTAAAAATTATTAAATACTGGAATTTAAAAATGTATTTTCAAATCCTATTTCTAAATGTAGATTTAAAACACCCAAATTGATAAATCTGAGTATAGATACCTTTCCTAATCACACATTTAGAAAGGTTATACCTTAATTCATTTTCATTTTCTTTTCTCAACTTCCATTTTTAAATCCTTTTTAAAACTGCATTTTGCTTTTGCTTTACCCACTCCATTTACCTTTTCTGTGAGCCTTCTGGTCCCTAACTGTGAGCTTACTGAAACTAGTTAACCAACCACAGTTGGTCCTCAGATGTAACCTGCTCCCTCTGTGGTCATTGTGTTAACTAAGTGTGGCAGTCGAACTAATGAGAGAGTTTTACGTATATGTGTTCCTGTGTGCTCTGGGACCAGATGGGTAACAAAGAATGTAAAGTACAAAGTTCAAACTGCACATAATATTATATTTGACACAACAAATGTCCTTCTCAGGAAGACTATTCTACGAGGTGTTCTGTGCACTTTTCTTGAGCTATTCTGAAGGCCATAGGAAGTTTGGAGACTATAGCTAATACCACAAAAAACCCACGGAGGAGCTCAGGAACAGGAACACAAGGTTTGTCCACTTGGACACCCTTGTCTGAGACCTGAAGGCAGCAAGGAGAAGGCTCAGGACCTCTGACATAATGTCAGATTTAGCTGCTTAATTGGTGAAATGAGTTTTGTCACTGAGTGTCCCAAGATGGAGCCATCAGGCAGACTTAGTCAGGGTTGTGAATATTCTCCAAGAACCAAGAAATGCATTATTTTGCACACTGTGGCAAGAGTTGGATATGGCAAGAGTATTTCATACTTTATAAGACACTCCTGGGACAGAGTGGCAGGGACTTTTAATGGCAAATATTTGTCAGCTTTCCCCACATAAACTTCATCCGCTATCTAAGTATTGTCAAGAAAAAGATGTCTGAATTCAGAAATCAGAAAAAAAAATGACAAGCCCTTTAAACCTTTCCTATTTCCGTTATTCAGTGAGACCCAACAGCAGTGACTTCCCTGCTTCTGTTATGATTTGAGCTATTTAAATGTTTATATTCTGTTGCATTACCTCTGCCATTGAGGTTGTTTACACCAGAGATAGTTTGTCTGTTTTTCGATCTGTTTGTTTTTTTAAATAACTCAAAAAAGATATGGACAGATTTTCAGATAAATTTAAATTTTCAGAGAAATCCCATATTGTGACTGCCAACAAAAGATTACATTTTGCTGGTGATCCCAATTACCATCTGGATCCAGGAATTTATTTAAAAGATTCTGTAAATACAGGAGATAAGCTACTTAAGTAAGGCCCATACCCTCCCAGAGCTGTTTTAGTTAATAATTTAATTTGGGTCCTCAATAACCAGAACCTTCGAAACAAACAGCTTATTTAGTTAAGAACAATAAGAAAGGGACCCTTAGAAAAGGTAGATTCCTATAACACTTAACAGGAAAATTCTTTGTCTTACCTCAACTTGTGCACTTCCTTCCCAAAGTAAGGAGAATACAGCAGTGTAGGAACCATTATGATGATCAAGCACTTTCCCCACCACACCTGCATGAACAGTGGGGTTGTGCAGTCGAGCAAAAAGGACGTCTCCACCAGACTTCTTGTGGTGACCATTGAAGTCATTCATTTCTATCAAAACCTCCATTTGATCCCCTACTTGCCAACTCCCCCCTCCATTACGAGGGAGAATTGTGAAAGTGCTGTGTGCTGCATTGCTGGTGTCATTCAGAGAAAAGTAAGATGGCAGGGATGGTGTTTCAGGCCAGGCAATGTAGTCCTTTAAAAATTCTGACTCAAGAGCATCTGCAGGTAACACAGAATGGAAGGAGCAAACAGCTGTATGGTTTTGAGGCTCAGTGGGATGTTTCAGTGTTTTGGTGGCTGGGACTTTCTCCTTTAACCAGAAAGAAAAAAAAAATGATATAGAGACAGTAATAAGATACCACAAAAGGCAAAGATTGAATAAAAATACAAATTCTTTAGTTAGATGATTCTGGTTTTTCAATTAATGAAAATTCAATATTCAGCTTCTCCAAAAAAAAAAAAAAAAAAAAAATCAAACAAAAAAAAAAAAAAAATTGAATGACTGTCCAAATAAGGAATAAAATGTATTGTATCAAACCTGGCGTAGTATTACGTATTTCCCTACACTCAGTACTTGCACTCGGTTTTGCACTCCTCACCTCTGATGAAGGCAAGATGGCGCCAGTATGTGTTTGGTAATGACAGTGGACAAAAAACTTTGCCTGTGCATTTTTGTGTCTGTCTGTCTGGCAAGTCAATTTAATGTTATATGTATTTTTATATATCAACGTATATATCTATATATATATCTTTGCATATCTATACATAAATATTATATATATATATATATATATATATATATATATATATATCTGCCAGCAAAGTACTGTCCATAACTCGAAAACGAAAAAGCATTATGAGCGACGTTAGGAGCCACTCTTTCTCAGGTCCCTGCTGACTGGGCTACCCATCTTGTTCGGTAGGGGCCGCTGTGCACGTCTGCATTCCATTACATTGTAAGTGTGCCGACGGGAAACTGGTTGAATTGGATTCTACCTGCTCAGCTAGATCTAAAAGTCTTTGTACAATTTGAGGGCTTGCCATGACCTGTGATGCTAAAGACCCGGCAATTCAACTTTGCTGGCAGACCACGAAAACGAAAAAGCAATGTCCGCTGTGTTTTCTGTTTGATTATGGCATAAAATGTACAGTCTTAAAGAAGAAAATGCAAATGCAAATAGGATGATTGATTCTTAATTTCATTTATGAAAAAAGCATTTCTGGAAATGCTTTTTCATTTTCAAATTTTACATTTCAAATAGAATTTTGGTATGTATTTGTTGGGGTACATTTTGAAAAATAAATCTCAAATGTCTTTTTCATTTTAATTAAGTAAAAGGATGAGCAGTGTTAAAGAAGAAAATGAAAATGCAAACAGGATTATTGATTACTAATTTCATTTATGAGTCAAACAATGCAGCCACATTCTTAAAATGAAAAAAGCATTTCTAATAATTCTTTTTCATTTGAAATGTGGTAATGATTTGCTTCCATAATAGGTAACTAAGAGGTAGTTAACCGGTATTTACTGGGGAACACCAAATCCAACCTTATCATGGGACTACTGCTTATTTACTTGGGAAACACAGCATAACTAACCAGGATTTAATGGTTACACTTAATTTAAGGGTACACAAAAACATTGATAATCATCAGGTAGTGATTAAGCAATAATTAGTTTCTCAAAAAACACTTGTTATAATGTTTTACTTTAGGGTACACAAAAACATTAGATAATGGTCAGGTAATGATTAGCTAATTAGCATATCCATGGTAATTATTTGATATGATGCTTGATTCAACAAAGTCCAAAAGATAATTAATACACAATAATTTGATACTCAGTAAAGTGGTTTTTCATAAGCTGTGACTTAGCGTTTATAAAAAAAACTAACACAGAGAATTTCTATTCAAAATTTGAGGTAACAAACCAGTTGTCCCCTCATGGGTATTGGTTGAGTACCCTTTTGGCTGCATCCATATCCACCCTAACCCCTCACTCACTATATGGAGGGGAAGACTATATAGTGGACTTTATATTGAACTCAGTAAACTGATAATTCAGACATATCACAACTACTTTGGTCATGTGACCTTTGCTCCCCACACAGTGCCTGCACCATTTCTGTTCTCTCTCCCCCCAACACAATTCCCAAGATGCTCTGTGAGGAGAGCTCTTGCAAAGCTTTCTGGGATATATCTTCTCATCTAGTGACCATTGATGGACACAACTTTTTAAGGTGCATTGTGGTAAATCTTGAGTCCCCTACTTTTTAATCCACTAGACATTTGGACACTCATATAAAGTGGCACAACTAATATATAGTGGTGTAAATAGGGGTTAGGGTTCACATTCGAAAACACCCTAGGTTTATTATTAGTTCGTCTTTGGACTCATTGGTAACTAATCATTAGTTCCTGATTTTTTTGTTTTTGTTTCCTTATCAATTCTCTAGGCGTTCTCTAACAGTTAATCAAATAAGGAACAAACAGGTACGTACATACCTAAACGGTCCCTAGTGGGTCACACCCAAAGAGTAACGAAGCAGGACATAAAGTGTAGTTAACAAGGAAGCATTAAAAAAAAATTCCTGATTTGAATATATTGATGGTGTTCTGCAACACCTATCATTACTAACAACAACTATGTCACTCAAGGTCCTGGAAATGTGATTGTGGAAAAGTGCAATATGCTGAGACTGCATTTTTTGGTGCCATTTTTTTTAGGCCTTTTCTGTTTTCTTGTAAAGTTATGAGTAATATTATGTAATGCATATATTTTTTTATTTTTCATTTTATTCTATTTTCTGATTGATCATGACCAGCGTGACCAATAGGTCGACCACCATACTACAGTGCCCAAGATGCATTCCATTTCCGTTGTCATTTTAAAACATGAAGCGACTCTGTCATGTAAAAATGTTTCATTACGGCAAATTAATTGAAAATCTAGCAGTTTATTTTTCATTTATAAGTTGCTCTGGAGTATAGGATTTATCCCTGGCGATAACATGTAAAAAAGTATTACTTAAACTCTGAAAAATATGGGATTTTTGACAGGCTTTGATGCCGTAGTAGTTGGAGTTAATGTTTTAAAGATGAATAATACTCACCTCTGCTAATGTGCAGGTTATGTGATCAGTAAGGTTAGTACTGTAAACAATTACCCATAAAACAAGTAAAGTCAAGAAAAGGAAAATAAAAATATTCTTCTGAAGAAGACATTTTCTTGAAGTTTGGCCTTCCATTATCAGTGATGACTGGACCCAATCCTGTGTTAAAATACAAAGACAAAAAAAACACAATTTATATGAGTCTTCCATGACTTAAATCCAATAATTCTTTGTCCAAAGACAAAACTTTAATTGATGTGCTTGCAGAAAAATTGCTATTCATGAGCAACTGGCAAGATTTTATAGGAATTTACAGTAACTCTCATGGAGACATGCCCACACACAACAACCACAAGAACATGTGATTTTTAGCATTGTCTCATTTTGAAGTTAATGCTGGTTACAAGGCAAGTTGCTCTATTAACTCTGATGTATACCTCTTGTAGTTAGGATTGTAAAATGCTAGTATAAACAGTTCAGCTCATTAAGTGTTGAACAGAGATGGCAAAAGTACTCACTTTCCGTACTTGAGTAAAAGTACAGATACTTGTGTTAAAAAAT